GTCTGTTTGTGTGTTTTTGCCCTTTTGGATATTTTTTGATACAGAGCCGAAACTGCGCGATGCTTTGTTTTCAGGGCTGGTACGATTTCATGTTTTAAGCATTCAAGGAAAAGAATAGGCAATTCAATCATTTACCTACCAAATACTGAGATATCGCAGTAAAGCAGTACTGCTCTCCCAGAGCCAGATTGATACAGCCAGTATTCGTTGTTTCCGGTGGCTTTCCCTTCCCTCGCTTTTATTGCACGGCATGAAAGTGCCGGTAACTCCGGAATCGAACCACCCTTCTCTTGAAAGGCGGGGGCTCCTTACCTTTTAGCGCAGTGTTCAGAGCTTCAAGTTTTTTTCTTTTTTCTCTTTGCTTTCTTCCTCCCCCAAGCTTCTTGTAACGTTTTAAATAGTTAAATAATTCGTATATGTGCACGATCCTTCGCAGTAAAGCACTATTTAAGCAATAGTGAAAATCAGACCTGAAAAAAATTCAGGCCTGTACGGGATTCGAACCACTGACCTCTGCGATACTAGTGCAGCGCTCTACCAATTGAGCTAACAAGCCAACTGGGAGCAGGCCATCAAATTAATTCGACATAAACCCGTAGATGATAAATCAAACAACAAACATATGAAATACATATATATGAACTGCGGTTATGAAACGTATATGTGCACGATCCTTCGCAGTAAAGCACTATTTAAGCAATAGTGAAAATCAGACCTGAAAAAAATTCAGGCCTGTACGGGATTCGAACCACTGACCTCTGCGATACTAGTGCAGCGCTCTACCAATTGAGCTAACAAGCCAACTGGGAGCAGGCCATCAAATTAATTCGACATAAACCCGTAGATGATAAATCAAACAACAAACATATGAAATACATATATATGAACTGCGGTTATGAAACGTATATGTGCACGATCCTTCGCAGTAAAGCACTATTTAAGCAATAGTGAAAATCAGACCTGAAAAAAATTCAGGCCTGTACGGGATTCGAACCACTGACCTCTGCGATACTAGTGCAGCGCTCTACCAATTGAGCTAACAAGCCAACTGGGAGCAGGCCATCAAATTAATTCGACATAAACCCGTAGATGATAAATCAAACAACAAACATATGAAATACATATATATGAACTGCGGTTATGAAACGTATATGTGCACGATCCTTCGCAGTAAAGCACTATTTAAGCAATAGTGAAAATCAGACCTGAAAAAANTTGAGCTTGTTAGCTCAATTGGTAGAGCGCTGCACTAGTATCGCAGAGGTCAGTGGTTCGAATCCCGTACAGGCCTGAATTTTTTTCAGGTCTGATTTTCACTATTGCTTAAATAGTGCTTTACTGCGAAGGATCGTGCACATATACGTTTCATAACCGCAGTTCATATATATGTATTTCATATGTTTGTTGTTTGATTTATCATCTACGGGTTTATGTCGAATTAATTTGATGGCCTGCTCCCAGTTGGCTTGTTAGCTCAATTGGTAGAGCGCTGCACTAGTATCGCAGAGGTCAGTGGTTCGAATCCTGTACAGGCCTGAATTTTTTTCAGGTCTGATTTTCACTATTGCTTAAATAGTGCTTTACTGCGAAGGATCGTGCACATATACGTTTCATAACCGCAGTTCATATATATGTATTTCATATGTTTGTTGTTTGATTTATCATCTACGGGTTTATGTCGAATTAATTTGATGGCCTGCTCCCAGTTGGCTTGTTAGCTCAATTGGTAGAGCGCTGCACTAGTATCGCAGAGGTCAGTGGTTCGAATCCTGTACAGGCCTGAATTTTTTTCAGGTCTGATTTTCACTATTGCTTAAATAGTGCTTTACTGCGAAGGATCGTGCACATATACGTTTCATAACCGCAGTTCATATATATGTATTTCATATGTTTGTTGTTTGATTTATCATCTACGGGTTTATGTCGAATTAATTTGATGGCCTGCTCCCAGTTGGCTTGTTAGCTCAATTGGTAGAGCGCTGCACTAGTATCGCAGAGGTCAGTGGTTCGAATCCCGTACAGGCCTGAATTTTTTTCAGGTCTGATTTTCACTATTGCTTAAATAGTGCTTTACTGCGAAGGATCGTGCACATATACGTTTCATAACCGCAGTTCATATATATGTATTTCATATGTTTGTTGGTTGAGTTAAATAATTGTTGTCAATATCTTACACCTGCATCAAAGCCGTTTGGGCAAGAAGTTAATAACCTACGAAGAAAAGGGAAAGAAGTAAAATATCTCATCATTATAATAAGAGATGATACAGAAATTAATATCGATGAGCGCGAGAGATCAGAAAACGCAGACTGTAAGCAGAGTCGAAGGTATGCCAAAAAAATTGACATATATTATTTTTTCTTGGCTGAGTACTTACCTCTTCCTTTCAAACGGCGAATATAAAATCACGCTGGAACTGAGCGGGAATTCTCGGGTCTTGCTTCCTTCTTGGTTGTTTAATTCACAGACCTGTTCTTTTCTGTAGAGATTATAGCTCTGGCAGGTAACTTCCCTTTCACATAGGATATCACAGATATGAGGAGCTGCTACTGTTATTCTCTTGAAAACGAAATCTTGGACAGCCATGCCACGAATGTTAATTTTTCTATCCTGCGTTGATCCTCAGCGGTCACATGTTTGGTTAGCGAAACACAGACAAGAAAATAATGAAATGTCTACAGCATTTTTGCTGAAAAACGCGGAAAATCAAAGGTAGGTCTGGGTATTGCGACATCAATTAACAAACTTTTATCTTAAGGCTGACTAGGAACAGTGGATAGTTAGAGCAACAGGATTCCCCCTACTCTTCTGTAAGGCCCTTTTTTAAAAGTAAAGACACAACGCAAAAAAACAAAACAAAACAAAACAAAATAAAACAAAAAACCTTTCCATGCAGCCTTCAAGAAAAATTATGAATAATATGTTTATTGGGGAAAATTTTCTCATTTTACTGGCAGTGACTATTAATTGCGTGGTGAGAAGACAAGAGTTGTTTCCCGTACGTACTTATTTAGAACCTATAAAAGTGCTCATTTTATATCCGATTCAGTGTGCTAAATTTCTTCCGCTTCGATGAGGTAGTTTAAGCAGCAAAACCGTAGAAAATAAAAACGTTGTGTTAGAGTCCCTTCCAAAAGATCCAAGTGCTTTTAGTGTTTCGTATATCTCAATGAAAATTAAAAAAAATACTAATAACGATGATGACGGTAACAAAAAAATAAAAGAGAAGGTTGAAAGCAGAGATTGGAAACTTGATGCTTTTCATCGTCACGGTGATACATTTATCGAATGGTGGTATCATCTCTCACCTTGGCTTAGAATCCGTATCCATTTTTATTGACATACGCTTCAACAGTTAGACATCGTAAAAACAAGATAAAAGCCGCAAGGGAAAAAAACAAATAGCATTGATCGTGGTAAAGGACCAACGCAGCTTCGAAATGAGCCATGATAAGTAACAAAGATAATCATGTGGCCCCGCTTTCACATTTTAGCTTGTGGAATTCCTTGTTTTTAGCATGACTGACAAAGGTTAACTAAGATGATTCGTTAACGGGTGGGAGTTGTAGTTATACGTTTATCATCTTGATGACTGGAAATAAAATTGCAGAGGATTCCTCACCTTCAGCACAATCATGGCTTTCAAATCCAGATTCAAGAACACATAAACACAGATAATCCCTGTATGTAGAGCCAGTTTGGCATGTGGCATTATTCTTGCATGGATTTCTGGCGCAAGCATTCTTAAGAAAAAAGAGTAGGGGGGCACTTTAATTTTTGTGCTTGCGTTCTGCGCATGCTTTCGCGTTTGCGAGTTCTGAATGTTGTGCAGGTTTGTCAAGTCTATACATCTTCTCTAAAAGTCCTTGTGTGTACTCTGATTTTGATGTCCACGCAAGCTTGCTTGTTATTCACGCAAATGTCTGCGTTGAACATTGTTCTCTTTTCACGCGTAACAATGTTCAGAACAAAAAAAAAAGTGTCTTGATGCTCGAAATCTATCAAAACAGCTCCGGAGGCGGTCATCTTAAATTTATAATAAAATATGCTTCTCTCAATTCTTTATTTCAAAGTTTAAACGTGCAATTATCATAACCTTTACTTTGGTGGCTTGGAAGGAGAATTAAGAGGAGTGGAATAGACTAAGAAATCCTTAGTCTTGAAACGAAACTTCAACGAGACGAAGATCTAGAGTTTCATACTCTTGGCTAATAATCGTCCTTACCTCAGCTCCGTGGTAAATATAACTTTCGTCTTTCACCCGATATTCATCGTGTTCAATAGTAGCGTTATTCAGATCACACTTGTGTGTTCCAGACAGCTGTCTTATCTTATGGAAGTTGCAACTGACGCAGTTAGGTTCCTGGTAGCATTGAGCCTGGTCGAATACTTCAATAGTTCGAACCATGTGATTCTGCAACAGGTAGCCAGGTTAGGAAAACTGGTGAACTTCAAATTACGGCAGTTACCTTGTGAAAAATTATGTTAACTTAGAAAGTTGCCATGTAGTATTGAGCACGTCTCCTGAAACTCGAACTGTAGAGCAGTGTCAGTGCTCAATTATTGCTTTGTTGTTCTTTTGTGTTTTTGCCATGGGAACAACACCAGTTGAGTGATTCTAATTTATATCCTGAGTAATCATTGCAATTTTTATCTTCCTTTGGAAGTGTTCAGCTATCGTGATCAATCAGTTGTTGCCAAAATATATTAAAAAACTTTTTTGATACTAGAGTGATTCATGTTTATTTACTGTTATAATAAAGTTCGAGTTATGGCAAAGTTGTAGATAACCCAGTCTCTTACGTCTAGAGAATGGCTGCAAAGGAGATTGAAGGTAAATTATCTTCTAGCTACAGTAGCCGTTGTGCCTTTTTGAAAGTTACTAATTTCAAAGGAATTTCGTTGGAACCCACCACCCAAGTCTCAACACCCATTTTCTTTTTTTTCAGACACAAACCTCCTGCTATAACCAGAGCTCTGAATAACAAAACAACTTTAAACAGCATAAAACCACTTTACTGTCTTAAATCAACTGTAGTTATCAACATGTTACCATAGTGACTTAAGTTAAGACTATGTGTAAATACTACTTGGTCAACACTAAAACTGAGAGATCCTTTCTGTAATTCCCACAAAGCATTTTCCCAAGGTTTTTGTGTATTTGGAAGCAAGTAAAATTTTCACGATATTTAATTTCTAGTCATTATAAGGCACAAGCTTCTTTTCTTTATGTCAAGTATAGCATTCTTTTCCACTTTAGTAAGAGAGCACAGGAGCCACCTGAAGTTATTCTAGACGATGACAAAAAAAAAAAATGACAACCTAACTAGTAAATAAAGTTTTGCGTAAATTTGAACGTACCATCATATGGCACATCTAAACGCAATAGTACCTTGCATAATGGAAAATGAATCAGATTCGAATTGATTCATTCTGATTACTGAGACGGTGACTGAATCTAGTTTTCTAATACCGTAGTAACCTGCTAAGTCGAACTCAGTTAACTTGAACGTTTGTTATCTTAGAAATATTTCCCTTAAAATATTTCCTCTCCCCCACCCCCCACCGTTACCTATATACATCAACCTCTCGTAACACAACATTAGTCGACAATGTGGCGCCAATACTGGGCCAGTTTTCTATTTTACTGGATACTGGTAGACGTGGAGCGAAACGCTTTTCATGAGAATCGTGAAATAAAAACCACAATATCCACAAATGATGAAGTTTGGTGATTATCAACTAAGGAAGCCATATGTATCAAAAATCTAAACATTAGTTTTTGAGGATAGTTTGCCACCAGCGCCAGTGATATAAAGAGGCTCTGTCGGCCCATAGGGCAGACAAACAAAGATACTGGGTCTAACTGGTCATACGAAAATTGAGAATCGAGTTTGGTTTGAGCTGATCAAGAAAATCAAAGTGATTGCATGATAAACTTTCACATTCAATTGAAACTCGTTTCTAGATATGTAATACCGTATTTCTTCGAATAAGCGCTCAGACTCTAATAAGCGCCCTCACACAAATAAGCACCCACTGGGCCTGTTTCGTTTGCATCCGGCAACGTTTGAGCAACTTTTGGCGTTTGAAGGAACTTTTTGCGGTTCTAGCAAACTCGAGCAATTTTTGCCTTTCTAAGCAATCTTTTAACACAGTTAAGGTTAAGAACACATGGCAAGCACGAAAAAGGCAAACAATTTCAAAGAAAACTTCAATTTATGCAAATTTCGTGGATGTTTATCAACCTTTTGAATACAACGTTTCGCAGGCCTACTGCGATCCTTGTCTAATATAATAACGGATGATAGGCCAAAATATATCGGGACGGGCCTGGCACCTCTCCCCTTGCCCATAACATCAAACAAGCGTCCCCCTCAAATACGCGCCCCCAATCCTCCCTCAATTCTCAAATAGCAGGAATACAAGGAAAACCTGTTTGTATTGCCACCTTATAATGAACTTTTTAAGCTTCAGCTACAGTGAAACCAAGACAGGTAAATAGATTCCATATAATTCCCTCAATTAAGCGCACTCCTTTCAATAACCGCCCCTCCTCTCAGCCGAAATTTTTACGTAAGCGCCTGGTGGAAGTCTATTCGAGGAAATACGATAATTGAAATCTACAAGAATATGAAGAACTGACTTCATAAATTTTTTTTGAAGCAAAATATTAACAAGTGCTTATTCTTTACCTGTTTATTTATTGATCGATTGGAAACTGTATTTGCTTTAAGGTAACGCTTAAGCAAAAGTAGTTTACCATTAAACGTTAACAAAAGTGTTGCCACGTGCTCTTCACTGGAGAAATGTGATGTGTACCCGGCCATGACCAACGCTATTATAGCAACACTCATTACACTGATTTGTTCCACCATTAAAAGATCCTCCCCCTCCCCCACAGGAAATATTTTCATTAGCCCCGCCACTTCCCCCAGAATAACCTCCACCTCCGCCCGGTCCCCTGTTTCCTGAACGAAAACCACCGCCACCTCCGAAGCCACTTCCATACTGTCCACCTTCTCCCTCCTGAAGATATCCTGAACCTCCTTTCCCCTTCTCCCCACAATACTGCTTTCCACACGTTGAATCCTGTCCATTTGCGTAGAAGCCGCCGCCACCACCACCTACATTACAATCAAAAAGTGCTCAGTGGTTCTCTTACAAATAGCACCTATATATTTGATTTCTTGCGATCAAACAACAATTTTGCGGTGTTTCGCAACTAGGTTTTTTTCTTGATTTTTCGAGGCTTAATTATTGCATGGATGTTGCTAATAAAAAGCTTGTGAGGAGAAGTCAGCCTTAGGGTTAGCTTTGACTCTCTGTTAATTGTTTCTATTTAATCCAGGTTCAAAATCAGTGAATAAGGAGCCTTGTCATCTGTTTCGATGTCAGCTCCTGTCCTATATTCTCGGATCGACGTCGAGAATTGAATAAATATGTGGGAAATTCAAAAAGGAGAAACCCAAATTCGACAGAATTTTCTTGTATGAGGCGTTTCCAAAGTATTACGAAGGAGAAACTTCAAAATTAACGCTAATAATTTTGATAATTATTCTTTTTAGAAATCTTTCAAAATATGTTTATTAGAGAATCCCTCTGTCATTTGATTGAAGATCCTGAAGAATGGCAGTAGAATGAAACGAAAATCTCAGTATTTGTAAGAAACGAATTCTCCACCTACCAGAATCCCCACCATTGGTATGTCCTCCATGTCCATTTTCTCCCCCTGACTCCAGTGGCAAGTTGTTCCCTGAATTCCCTGTGGTGCTTATGGACGCATCGCATCCCGGATGTTGTTCTGACATTGCTTTAATTCCCCCTCCACCTCCAGCTATGATCAAAGACGTGTTGCTTCCTCTCACTACAAATGTACCTCCTCCGCCTCCAGCAGTTTGATTGTTGATATTCCCTGTTTTCCCTTTTTGACCAACAAGGACACTTATGATCTCATCTTTGATCAAATGAAAGTTTCCAATCATTCGTGCCCCTCTTCCTCCGTTCTTGATGATACTGTCCTCACCGTACCCCCCTGAGGCTCCTGTTGCTTCTATTCTGTATTCGCCAGTGTGTGGCACAGTCCACTGTTGAATACCACTGGACAGTGCAACTTGTCCGTCATGATCCTGACCTGTGTAATGACTACTAATCGAGTTTGGACCTCTCCTTCCTCTCCTATCAAGATTTGTAAACACAGCTGTAAATCCTGTGCAATAAACGCAAAATATAAGTGAAAGTTATGATACTAGTAAGAATTTTCCAAAATGTTTTGGGAATTTCTTATATTTAGTTCTTATTAACCGAGCGGAAGGTCTGTATGGGAGATTATTATATGGCTGTCTCTCACAAGGACTGGGAACTACCGAATTCACGAATTTGAATGGCTGAAATCAATATTGAAAAGCGGTCCAGATTTTCCCATCGAGACCGGCATCTAGACCGGTCTAGAAAAAAACGGTACAAAAAATATAAAAAATTGGCATACAAGACACAGCCATATAATAAACATCTTATTAACCGAGCTAGGACGGTCTGTAAGGGAGAATCTTGACCTCGGTCGCTGGTACAGACCTTACTACGTTCGGTTCCGTCCAAGCCGCACAAGGAACTCCCTTTGCAACTTGCTAAACATTCAAAATCATAAATTATCGTGCTCTTGTTACACGAGCGATACAATTAACTCTCGCTACAACTTCCTAACCACTCAACCCGTTTTGCGTATTTCTAAAAATCCCGCTCTTTCGTGCTATCATTACACAAGCCGAACCAGAACTCTGTGACATCATCAACGGTCAATATTCGAAAATATTTTAGCGCCATTGTCGACCGAGCCAAAAAGTCACAATTTTTGGGCTATTTTCTCTCTATGAAACTCCCTCGGCGACTTCACCGAGCTCAAAAGTTTCCGTTTCGTTTAGAAAATCACCCACTTCTGCCTTACTGCTGTTCAAGCTTATCGAGAAACCCTACTCTGTGGGGTAATCGTCATCCAAAATCACAGACCTACGTTCTCTTGTTGATCGAAGCCCACGTTTTTCTTGAACTATGACTCGAATTTAATTTTTTTAAAATTCGTGCTCTTCTAACGTCATTGTTCTTTTGTTTTAAGATGAAAGGTCTACATTGCAATTATAATACTAATGTAACTCATATATTAAAGAGACGCGTGTCGTTAGAAAAAACAGTTGCTTTGGTTTCGCTTCATGGATATCCAGTTAAAGAATTCCTCCAAATGTTTTCGAAGTTTAAGCAAGAAAAACCATCGCATGTCCCCGAGGCAGAACTTCGAACTGGAATAATTTCTCCTCAGCTTATTGATGTATATGACGAAGAAAGAAGTCTACGAAAAGGAGAAATAAGCCAGTTGAAGAGAGAGAAAGCGATGGCCCAGGCGACAATGGAGCTTAAGCAAAAGGAACTAGTTCGCACAAAAGCTGCATCTTTGCGGTTAAATCAGGAAATTGAGCTTCTTTGAGAAGAGGTCGCTCGAAACTGTGTTAAGTTCGGTACCAACGGAATGAAAAGACAGAAGAAATTCGTAATGATGGCACTTACGAAACTTAGGGCCGTTGGGGTGGTCGAATATTGGCCTTCCAGAAGGAAACTCACTCATCTAACTAATCTCGGCTGTACCTCTTTTTAGCAGATCAAAGGCATATAACGAACTGAACGATTCTATGAATCAGTTTTGGGAAGTTGACACCTTGGATATCGACAAAAATTGTGCACTACCGATAAAAAGAGAGGAGGAGATAGTACTTGATAATGTTCAGGTCATTCGTTCACGATAGAGAGCGTTACCAAGTTGCCACACCTTAGAGGCACGAAAGTCCGGCGTTACCGAACAGCTATGAGATGACCCTCAGCCGCCTTAAAAATACAGAAAAGGATCTAACCCGCCAACATTCACTCGAAGAAGAGTATTAGAACTTTATCGCATCTTACCTCGAAAAGGGTTAAATTCTTAGGGTACCTCAGGCCAAAAAAGAGCCGCAATGTCAGTGGTACCTCCCTCACCTTCCTGTTTGCCGTCCCGAGAGGTCTTCTACAAAGATAAAAAGCGTATCACACGCCAATGAAAAGTTTCAAGGTACATCTTCAAGATAAAAATGCTACCGGACGCCAAGCTTGAGGCAAATCTGTTCGAAGGCCTCCAGCGCTTTTACCGTTTTCAAGCAGCCATTACATGTGACGTTGGTGAAATTTACTTAAAAATACGCATTACGTCTATAGACCGTTTGATGTTTGGATTTCTTCGGAGCAATTTGGAAGTTGATGGAAATTCCGTTCAATCTGACTTTGAACACGTCGTGTTTGTAGGTGCATCCGCTTCGTGCCCAGTTTGTGTCTCAGGAATCATCATCAAATAAAAGAAAGAAGTTCCCTCTTGCCTCCGAAACTGTCCAGGAATCAACATACATGTACAACTCTTTGGTTTTAACTGGAATGACAGTGAATGCCAGTTGTTCAAAGAATTTCAAGGCGTGTGAAATAAAGCGGGAAATAAGGATCATATATGGTTAATTTGCTCTCCGGAGGTGCTATCAGCCATTTCACAGAAACTCAGAGCACTCGCAATTAACCTTGCCCTCGACACCTTGCCAGGAATAAAGACGCTCGGGATTCCGAGGAATGCTCTGAGAGATGTTTTTACTTCTCGAGTCACAACTTCAGTGGTGGGAAATGTTCGCACTAAGAGGTCTATCGAGAGGATGGCAACTGAAGTATTTAATCCGTTAGGTCTCGCCAGTCCGTTCGTAGCCCAGGGAAAGATTTTAATTCAAGATTTGTGGACAATGGGTATCGGATATGATGATCCTGTTACTCAAAAGATCGCTGTGCGAGCTCAGTAATGGTTTTCAAAGTTGGAGATCCTGAAAGAAATCACAATCCTTAGCAGTTTAAGAGAGTCAAAAGTGGAGATATGTAGCAGCGTCCACACCTTCGTGGAAGCTTCGATAGAGAGCATTACAAAGACAACAGCACGAATGAAGTCACCAGTTGCCGTCTATCAGCTACCATCTTAAAAAGCCTTGAATATCCCTTTAGAAAACATATATTTTTGTTCAGATAGCAAGGATTTCTCTCTTAGAATTGCGGTGAAGGAAAAGAGTTCTGTCGTCCTTTCATGTCGAACAGAATTAGAGAAATCCAACGTTTAACTTGCTCGCTGTAATGGCAATACGTTAATTGCAAGCAGAGAAAACCAAAGCAATTCTTCAATTTGCAATTGGTGGAAAAAGGCGGATTTTCCTTCTTAAGCAGAAAACGAGTGGCCACAAAGAAGATCGAGGAGGGTCTAAAGGTCAAAATCAAGCAGAGGAAGACCTTTTAAGCCTCTCACCACACAGTTTTGTTTCTGTTGAAGTCGTCAAAGGTAACAGGTGGAGACTGAATCCTGAAAATCGGTCGAGTTGGTTACAACTCACGCGGGTGACATTGTGGGTGCATAGATTTGTCGTGAACTACCACACAAAAATAGAACAACGGCTAGATGGTCCTCGTTCTGTAGAAGAAATCATTCTGAGTTAAAAATAATCAGAGAGTGAAGTGCAGTAGGCTGATTGTGCCGAGGAATTTCTTGCTTTTAAAAAAAAAAAGCCTTACAAAGAGTAAACTGCCAAGGCTGACGTGTAAAGTCGATCTTGATAGCCTACCTCGCCGCGATGGTCTGCTGAGGTTTACTGAAAATCTTCCTACGATACGCTATTTAATTCCAATAATTTTGCAAAGAGGAAACTGGCTGACGACGCTTATCGCATGGCTCTATTGTGAGGATGGACACCACGTTACCGAAACGAATCACACGCTCGCTATCCTTTCTATCAAGCATCGAATAGTTGCAGCGAGAGAAAAAACTCGGGAATAGGAAAATGCATACAATGAGTGTAGCAAGTTATGACTTCACTACGAAGCGTAAGTGCGTTCGCCCATGTTTCTGCTGACTTTCCGTCCTTTCGTGACCATCCATATTCAAGTGGGCCGTTTTCAGAACCATTTCCAAATGCATTGAAATGGACTCCAACTAAACAGAAACGCCTTTCAGAAGGTTGGCAAGTCAAATTAAGAGAGGGGAATTTTAATAAAGACTAAAAAGTGTAACGAACACGATGACTATTAATGGCGTAGTGAGAAGACGAGAGAATCATTTCCCGTGCGTACTTATTTAAAACCTTTAAAAGGGCTCATGTTATATTCGATTCAATGTGCTAAATTTCTTCCGCCTCGATAAGGTAGTTTGTGTAGCAAAACCGTAGAAAAGAAAAACGTTGTGTCAGAGTGCCTTCCAAAAGATCCTAGTGTTTTTAGTGTTTCGTCCGACCAAAATGGTAGCAGAGCGAGGTTCTGTCCGACCAGCGGGGTTATAACTGTATAAAAATTTACGAGAACTTTATTAGATGATAATTGCTAGGAATAAAAGAGTTCAAGTATGAATCTTTACTCCCGAGTTTTTACCTAACTTATCTATTGCAATTATGAACTGAATTGGTTATTCTCAGCCTGAAATAAATTTTAATACTAAAATAATAACGACTACACCGACGAGTACTAACCAGTGCAGTTTGTGCCATTTCCACGAAATCCTTCCTTGCAACTGCAGTGGTATGATCCTAGGTCATTCATACATTTAGCATTCTCACCGCAGGCGTGCTTTGCGTCAGCACACTCATCCATATCTAGAAAAACAACATTAAATGAAATTTTCTGATGCGATATCATTAAAGACGATTCCATCATATTGTTGCCAATAAAGTAATTTATACCAAATATTTACCAACGCAGTGATGTCATGATAAATTACTGTTAGTTACCTGTGCAGTGAATTCCGCTTCCTTGGAATCCATCTTTGCACGTGCACTTGTGAGATCCCAAGGTATTGTTACACTCAGCATTCACATTGCATTCGTGCGTTCTGTCAGTACATTCGTCCAAGTGTATAGCATTAAAAAAGAACCACCTTTTTCAATGAAACCTATCTCAGTGCGTTTTTCTTGTGTTATGTTTTGTTGTTTTGTTCATGTTCGTTTGTTTGTTCGTTTATTGATTTTTTGGCATGTACGAGTCACTTCAGAAAAGTAAGGTGATATAAGATGGTATGCTATGTTACAAACGGTTACCAGTGCAGTTCGTTCCATTTCCATGAAATCCATCTCTACACGTGCACTTGTAAGATCCTAAGATATTGTTACACTCAGCATTCTCGTCACAGGCATTTCCTAAGTCAGCACATTCGTCCAAGTCTAGAATAACAAAAAAGAACCATCGTGTTTTTTTCGTTTTATTTCTTGTTTGCTGAAATTGATATTTGGAATATTTGGTTCACCTTAGAAAAGTAAGGAGAGACAAGATAGCATGATGTGTTACAAACAGTAACCTGTGCAGTTAGTTCCATTTCCATGAAACCCATCCTTACACGAGCACTTGTAAGATCCCAAGGTATTGTTACACTCCGCATTCACATCACAGTTGTGTGTTCCGTCGCTGCATTCGTCTAAATCTGCAATATTAAAAAACAAGCATCATTTAATGAAAATCGTTATTCAATGTTTTTCTTGTGTTTGTTACTGTTTGTTTGATTGTGTTTCATGGTTTCTTTTTATCTTAGAGTCACCTCAGAAATGTAGGGTGGGATAAGATAGCATGGTTTCACACTCGTCATCTTAATAGCTAACTGTTTTCATGAAAGTTACAACTAACAACCTGTGCAGTTGGTTCCATTTCCTTGAAATCCAACTTTACAAGTACACTTGTAAGATCCCAAGGTATTGTTGCACTCAGCATTCTCTTCACATTCATGTGTTCCAACAGTACATTCGTCCAAATCTTAAACATTAAAAATGAATCATTATTAAAATGATACGTGTTTTTTTTTTGTCATGTGTTTTTCTCGTTAATGTTTGTTTGTTTGTATTTATTGTTTGGTATCTCACTGTCACCTTAGAGACGTTAGGTGGAAGGGGAAGGGGGGGAGGGGTGGGTGGGAGTTGCAATAAATTGTAAAGGATTCCTCACCTTCATCACAGTCATGGCCTTCAAATCCAGATCCAAGAACACATAAACACTGATAATCTCTGTCTGTAAACCCTGCTTGGCATTTTGCATTATTCTTGCATGGGTTTCTGGCGCAAGCATTCTCAAGAAAAAAGAATAGGGCACTTAAATATCTGTGTTTGCGTTCTGCGCATGCTTCCCCGTTTGCGAGTTCTGAATGTTATGCAGGCTTGTCAAGTCTATACGTCTTTTCTAAAGGTCCTCATGTGTATTCTCATTTTGATGTTCATATGCTCCACGCAAGCTTGCTTGTTATTCATGCTCACTGTTCAGAGCGAGAAAAATGTGTCTAACTCTTCAAAATGTATCAAAATAGCTTCGGAGATGGTCATTTCAAATTAATAAAAAAATTTCCTTCTCTCAATTTTTTATTTCAAAGTTTAAACGTGCAATTATCATAACCTTTATTTTGTTGATTGGAAGGAGTATTAAGAGGAGTGGAATGGACTAAGGAATCCTTAGTCTTGTACCAAAACTTTAACGAGACAAAGAGTTTCATACTTCTTGGCTAATAATCGTCCTCACCTCAGCTCCGCGGTAAATATAACTTTCGTTCTTCACCAAATCTTCATCATGTTCAATAGTAGCGTTATTCAGATCGCAATTGTGTGTTCCAGACAGCTGTCTTATCTTATGGAAGTTGTAACTGACGCAGTTAGGTTCCAAGTAGCATTGCGCCATGCAGAGATCCTCGTCCAATACTTTAATAGTTCGAACTGTGTGATTCTCCAACCTGTAGCCAGGTTTAGGAAAACTGGTAAACTTCAAATTACGGCAGTTACCTGGTGAACAGTTAGGTAAGGTTCGGAAGTTACTATGACTGAGCATGTCTTCTGAAACTCTAACTCGAGAGCTGTGTCAGTGCCCAATTATTGCTTTGTTTTTCTTTTGTGTTTTACTATGGGAACAACACCAATCGAGTGACTCTAATCTACATCCTTAGTAATCATTGCAACTTTTATCTTCTTTTGAAAGTGTTCAGCTATCGTAATCGATAAATTGTTGCCAAAATCAATATTGTATTTATCAGTGTAGAAGCGGAACTCGTGTAGAAGTCGACCCCCATTTTCAAGGTCAAAAATCGGAATTTTCATCATTTCTAGTTAAAGAAAAATTCAGACCCATAGAAATTTTCCCAAATCGTTGATCTCTTATTTCTGAGAATGTATTGAGAACACGGTGAATTAAAAAAAACCGCATAGCAAAATGTAACTGTGTGCTGTGAAGTTTAGTAGCACGTGTTTACAACACCACGATTTAGGTATATACAAGCACTTCGATTTACTGGAGAAGTAATTAACTATATTTCGTAAATCGCTCTGAAAATGAAATATTCATCCATTTAAATAGCCTTTACTTTAAAGGGAAAGTAAGGTCTAGAAAAAGTTTACTTAGATCAAAAGTTTCTTGCTTGCATTGTCCTAACCGGCTATTAGTTTGAGCTAAAAGCGTTTTAGTAGCGCAACAATTACGCTCCAAATATCGTCATTTTCATATCGAAATCCGTCATCTTTGTTATGACGAAGCTATGACGTACAATAGTCAAGCATGCGAAATTACGTCCTTGCTAAAGTGGATGTAAACAAGAAAAACAGCGACGAGAAGAGCGCAAATTAATAAATTCTCGACTTAGATTTTAATCTAGCCGAGAGAATGTAACACGTCCATTCATTTTCCCAACGAAACATGGCTCATCTTTAGGGAAAGGTGATACCTCTGTTGGGGAGAAAGAGAGAAAGTCAGGACAATGAGTTTCAAGAAGAAACGTCGATTCGCTAAGTCCCTCGCGTCTTGGAAATCGCGAGTGGTTCTCTTGCGGCAACTGTCAAGAGAAACCTGAGGAAAAAGAGAACATATGCTCTTAAGAATTAAATGTACTAGGCTCAATTTGAAAGGCAAAGGTCTTTCCCTCAAACAAATCCAAGCTGTGGAGTGATAGTTATTTTGCTAAAGAAGACCGCAGTGGCCGCGACTGATTCATTTCACATTACTACCTTGGAATGAGACGAACTATTTTTGCAGTTACAGGAACCTAGCTTCGGTGTATAACTTGGAACAGCTCCAGTAGGAACAGCTCCAGTAGGAACGCACAAGTTAGAAATGATAGACTTGAAGAGGTAAGCTGGAAAACCAGGAATCCGGAATTCCGCCGGAAGTTTTCAACGTCTGTTTTTTATTCAAAATGACTCCGATGATTTTCCGAAAAGTGTACGAGCTCCAAATATACTCCGATGATTAACCCAAAGATTATTCGATGGTTTCCAAAGTTACCCGGAGAGCCCTGAATTTTTGAAGGCTTGTTTTTTGAATTTTTCTCTTTTCCTTTTTCAAGATTTTCCGAAGAGTGTACGAGCTCCGAATATATACTCCGAGGATTAACCGAAAACTATCCGAGGGTCTCCGAAGTTATCCGGAAATCCTCGAGGAACAATCGAACCCCCAGCTTCATTTGTTTTTTATCTTTTTTTATGTTATCTTTTGCTTATCTTTAATTATTAACCTATCTATTCATTTAGCGGTATGCGTCCACCCCAACCATCTGTGCCCCAAGGTTTTCCTTTACCGCCGAAACCCATCATTCCTGAATCTTCCAATCCTTTCATTTTAATGAAGCTAAAAGGACACATCTCAAAATGTAACGGATGTGAAGGAAGCTTTCAAAGAGACTCTCAATCTGTTGATAGCATGGCAGTCATTGGACGTTTAAAGGTGGACTAGTATCCAAATCTGTACTTAGATGGCACAAAATGTTGGAAGTTAGGAAGAGCACAAGGAAGATACTACCATATCAACACAGCATGTCTGTGCACACGTCGTCCCTGGTTCCATACAGGCCACTTGCAAGGTCTGATGAGGAGATCTGAGGGAGGCCTGTCTCTAACGGAAGAGCTTATCGCTTTCGTTAAGCAGTGCTTTCCCAGGATTGTAATTCGGAATAAATGGCAGACTGACTTAGGCATTGCTACATTTTCTTTGTACCTTTTTCATGAATAATCGAGATCGATTAAGGGGACGCTGACCATGTCAACCTATAATTTGACGAATGATTCGCTGTTTATTATTTAGTTTCACGGCTGTTAAAAATGAGTTAATAGTTAAAAATAAACAAAAGATAAAATAAAAAACAAATGAAGCTGGGGGGTTCGATTGTTCCTCGAGGATCTCCGGATAACTTCGGAGACCCTCGGATAGTTTTCGATTAATCTTCGGAGTATACATTCGGAACTGGTACACTCTTCGGAAAAATCTTGGAGAAAGAAAAATGAAGAATTGAANAACACGGTGAATTAAAAAAAACCGCATAGCAAAATGTAACTGTGTGCTGTGAAGTTTAGTAGCACGTATTTACAACACCACGATTTAGGTATATACAAGCACTTCGATTTACTGGAGAAGTAATTAACTATATTTCGTAAATCGCTCTGAAAATGAAATATTCATCCATTTAAATAGCCTTTACTTTAAAGGGAAAGTAAGGTCTAGAAAAAGTTTACTTAGATCAAAAGTTTCTTGCTTGCATTGTCCTAACCGGCTATTAGTTTGAGCTAAAAGCGTTTTAGTAGCGCAACAATTACGCTCCAAATATCGTCATTTTCATATCGAAATCCGTCATCTTTGTTATGACGAAGCTATGACGTACAATAGTCAAGCATGCGAAATTACGTCCTTGCTAAAGTGGATGTAAACAAGAAAAACAGCGACGAGAAGAGCGCAAATTAATAAATTCTCGACTTAGATTTTAATCTAGCCGAGAGAATGTAACACGTCCATTCATTTTCCCAACGAAACATGGCTCATCTTTAGGGAAAGGTGATACCTCTGTTGGGGAGAAAGAGAGAAAGTCAGGACAATGAGTTTCAAGAAGAAACGTCGATTCGCTAAGTCCCTCGCGTCTTGGAAATCGCGAGTGGTTCTCTTGCGGCAACTGTCAAGAGAAACCTGAGGAAAAAGAGAACATATGCTCTTAAGAATTAAATGTACTAGGCTCAATTTGAAAGGCAAAGGTCTTTCCCTCAAACAAATCCAAGCTGTGGAGTGATAGTTATTTTGCTAAAGAAGACCGCAGTGGCCGCGACTGATTCATTTCACATTACTACCTTGGAATGAGACGAACTATTTTTGCAGTTACAGGAACCTAGCTTCGGTGTATAACTTGGAACAGCTCCAGTAGGAACAGCTCCAGTAGGAACGCACAAGTTAGAAATGATAGACTTGAAGAGGTAAGCTGGAAAACCAGGAATCCGGAATTCCGCCGGAAGTTTTCAACGTCTGTTTTTTATTCAAAATGACTCCGATGATTTTCCGAAAAGTGTACGAGCTCCAAATATACTCCGATGATTAACCCAAAGATTATTCGATGGTTTCCAAAGTTACCCGGAGAGCCCTGAATTTTTGAAGGCTTGTTTTTTGAATTTTTCTCTTTTCCTTTTTCAAGATTTTCCGAAGAGTGTACGAGCTCCGAATATATACTCCGAGGATTAACCGAAAACTATCCGAGGGTCTCCGAAGTTATCCGGAAATCCTCGAGGAACAATCGAACCCCCAGCTTCATTTGTTTTTTATCTTTTTTTATGTTATCTTTTGCTTATCTTTAATTATTAACCTATCTATTCATTTAGCGGTATGCGTCCACCCCAACCATCTGTGCCCCAAGGTTTTCCTTTACCGCCGAAACCCATCATTCCTGAATCTTCCAATCCTTTCATTTTAATGAAGCTAAAAGGACACATCTCAAAATGTAACGGATGTGAAGGAAGCTTTCAAAGAGACTCTCAATCTGTTGATAGCATGGCAGTCATTGGACGTTTAAAGGTGGACTAGTATCCAAATCTGTACTTAGATGGCACAAAATGTTGGAAGTTAGGAAGAGCACAAGGAAGATACTACCATATCAACACAGCATGTCTGTGCACACGTCGTCCCTGGTTCCATACAGGCCACTTGCAAGGTCTGATGAGGAGATCTGAGGGAGGCCTGTCTCTAACGGAAGAGCTTATCGCTTTCGTTAAGCAGTGCTTTCCCAGGATTGTAATTCGGAATAAATGGCAGACTGACTTAGGCATTGCTACATTTTCTTTGTACCTTTTTCATGAATAATCGAGATCGATTAAGGGGACGCTGACCATGTCAACCTATAATTTGACGAATGATTCGCTGTTTATTATTTAGTTTCACGGCTGTTAAAAATGAGTTAATAGTTAAAAATAAACAAAAGATAAAATAAAAAACAAATGAAGCTGGGGGGTTCGATTGTTCCTCGAGGATCTCCGGATAACTTCGGAGACCCTCGGATAGTTTTCGATTAATCTTCGGAGTATACATTCGGAACTGGTACACTCTTCGGAAAAATCTTGGAGAAAGAAAAATGAAGAATTGAAAAAAACAAGCCTTCAAATATTCAGAGCTCTCCGAGTAACTTCGGAAACCATGGAATAATCTTCGGGTTAATCATTGGAGTATAGTCGGAGCTCGTACATTCTTCGGAAAATAATCGGAGTCATTTTGAATAGAGAAACAGACGTTGAAAAGTTCCGGCGGAATTCCGGATTCCTGTTCTTCCAGCTTACCGATTTCACCGAAAATTTCACGCTCCGTCCCCTATTCGTAGTAAGAGTAATTCAAAACACTTCAGAGAAAAGTGTCAAATTCGGCCCGCCCAACTATTTCAGTTTGTAAACTATCGCAGGTTGTGAACTTTGATGGTTTGTGAACTTAGATTATTTGGCATTTGTGACAGCTCCAGTCTTGTTCAATCAATCAGACTACTTGAGCTATTCTAACG